TTCTCTCCCCTTTCCCCTCCCCACTTCTTCCCCTGCCCACTCTTCCTTTCTTTTCCTTCCCCCCCCTTGCTTCCCTTTCATCCTTCAGATAAAGTCTAGCCCAGGCTGACCTTGATTTGCAGTTCTTCTGCCTCAGGCTGCTAAATGCAGGGATTACAGGCTACACCACCACATCCAGCTAAAGTTTTCTGATGTCCTGTGTGGCCATTCGCTTTCCTTGTTTTAGTACATTGAGAAAGTAGATCACTCCGAGCGAGCCTGCCTGTGCAGTCTGTTAACCGCACTGCATGGCTGGATGGGGACTTACAGTTACTATTCCCACCCTTCGTCTCACATCAGACTGCTGAGAGCCCGCTCCGGTAAGTGACCTCAGGCAAGCTTTGCCCATCCGTGGAGAGCTGAGTGGGTAGCATCAGCCAAGGGCTAACAGAGACTGGGAGCCTCAGACGCTTGAGAGGGTGGACACAGAGCTTTTCAGAGTGTCTATCCACCGTCATGTGGTGCATGAAGCAGTCTGAGTAAGTCAGTATGGTCTTATGCTGCCGTGGACTCTAGTCTTCAAATCTGTGTAGATTCTTGTGGAATAAATTAAATGCATCAACTTTTAAAGCTTTGTAGAATTCTTTGCAGTTTGAGTTCTTATGGAGTTTTTTTTTAATGAATGCATAAAAAAGTACAACTACTCTGATGGGGGCAGAGGGAGTACTGAAATGTTGGGATGTGTAGTGCACCCTTGTTTTTTTTTAAATGCCCAGAATCTTTGGTGCAGACACCATTCTAGCCAGCTCTTTCCTGTCCTGTTGGGTTGGACTTCCTGAGAGTGCAGAGTTAAACCCCAACTATGGCCCCTTAAGGAGGGACTAACTCTCCACTGCCCAGACATACCCAGGGGACAGGAATAAAAGGGGACAGGGAGGCTGTTTCCCTGAGGAAAGTACTATTAGAATTGCAAGGATGATCACTGTGTATGTCAAAAGTATACCAATGAAATTAATTTTAGGGCTGGGGAGATGGCTCAGTAGAATAAGCGCTTCCCTGGCAAGCACAAGGGCAATCCCCAGTTCCACCAAAAAAAAAAAAAAAAAAAAAAAAAGAGAGAGAGAGAGAGAAAAAGAAATTAATTTAAAAAACCCACAAGGATGCTATAGACAAATATACCCATGGGACCCTTCCACCAACATGTGAAGCTGGGGGCAGGGGGTAGGGGACAAGGTGGATGATGGGAGTGAAAATTTGTTATGTGCATGGATGAATCTGTCAAAATGAGACCTATTAATCAAAAAAAAAGCACCATTGAAATACTCTAGGTAAGATTTTTGACAATGGAAACTTGAATTCTCAAGTATAAAAACATTAAAAATGAAAGGCAAGAAGTTATCCTTTCCCATGGGCCCCGCCGGGCCACCATGTTACCCTGAGAAGATAGTGGCCTCCTAGCTGAATGCACCCGGCCGTAGGTGTCTCCTGTACATGGCAGATGCCGATTTGGACACCCGCGAGTCCCATGGGCTGGCCCTGCAGTGTGCGAGGAGCTGGCCCAAGCGCTGCCACTTACTGCTGCCACTCACCTTGGGGCTGCCAGCGAGGTGAGGGGAGAGGCTGTAGGGGGCCTGCGAGGATGTGGGGGCGCCCTGTGAGCGCTCTCTGCTCCAGCCTGCCTTCCTCTCCAGCGTCCCGAGGAGCAAATGATGATTCCGCTGAAGGGGAGCGCGGCCGAGGTTGCGCCATGGGCTTCCTGGCTGGCCTTTGGGCCGTCAGCCCCACGGTGTGCGTGGAAACGTTCCGGCAGGCAGACTGTCTATCTAACCGGGGGTGGCTTCTGTTTCCCTGCAGCGTCCAGACTGCTGTGATCAACGTTTTCAAAGGGGGCGGCTTGCAAAGCAACGAGCTGTATACACTGAACGAAAACATCAGGTATGTGCAGGCCAGGCCGGCGCCATTGCCCACGAGGACCCAGGCTGGTGCAGAGGGACCAGCTGACCGGGAGCCTTGTCTTCAGTTTTTGAGGTGTTTTTCCTCCTTGGTTCTCATCGTTTCTGTCAGCTATGACGGTGCTCTTATGGCTGTTGTGTTCTGACACCTTTATCTGTTTAGATTTCTGATTCAGTCTGTAGATTGGTCATGTAGAGTGTGTGTTTATGAGGGGTGAGGGAAGAGACTGAGAGAGAGAGTATCTGTCACTTGCTCTGTGAATGTGTATGTGCCGTGATTAACGGCTAGGCAGCCTGTTAGGCCGTTTGGCTCAGTGGCTAGAACCTGAAGCTTCAGATTCATTGTTTTCTTTCTTTTTTTAATATGGCGGCAGCGGGGGAAGGGGGAGGATGTATTCAGAATTAGCCAGCTGGACTCAGTTTAGGTGATCCCGATTTTGTTGGCCACATCCAATGCATCATAATCGGGAGCCAGCGGAACATGTACCTTCCTATCTCCATCAGGCCTGATTAGCGTATTGAGCTTGACAACATGGATGTCATAGAGCTTCTTTACAGCTTGTTTGACTTGGTGCCTATTGGCCTTGACATTCACAATGAACGTGAGTGTGGTGTTGTCCTCGATCTTTTTCATGGCTGACTCTGTGGTCAGGGGGACCTTGATGATGGCATAGTAGTCAAGCTTGCTTCTCCTGGGGGCGCTCTTCTGAGGGTATCTGGGCTGCCTCTGGAGCTGCAGTGTCTTGGGACGGTGGAAGGTGGGTGATGTTCCTATCTTCTTTTTGTGGCTGTGGATGCCTTTCAGCAGGGCCTTATTGGCCTTCAAAGCTTTTGCTTTGGCTTCAGCTTTGGGAGGGGAAGGGGCTTCCTTCTTAGGCTTTGGCACCATCTTGGTAAAAAGCCTCTGTTGTTCCCTCTGGAAATAAGGAGGTTATCCAGAAATATTCAAGTACTGCCTCAATGTCCTGGTGCTGGTGTGATAACAGGAGCAAAGATGGATGTAGGCCCCACTGTCCCAGAAGTTACATCCCCTTGGGGAGATAATTATTATTAAATGCATCACACAACTAAAATGTAGAGGTGCCCCTGTGACAGCCGCTACAGGACAGCTGGTGTGATGAAAATGTGTTGGTGTGATCTGGTCCTGCGGAGGAGGCCAGGAACAAGGGAGGAGACACAGGTGGTGGGAATTCACTAAGTTCAGAAGGCTGCCGGCCAGGAGCCCCCAGCTGCAGGTCCTCTAGCTGCAGTGAGTAAGGAACTGAAAGAAGGCCCGTGTGGTACAGCACTAGTGGTGGAGGGCAGGCTTGAGTTTGCCTCTTGGTGAAATGAGGGCAGTCAGGTGGCGGGAGCACTGGGGTCTGCTAGAGAGAGGAAGTGGAAGCAGCTGGCTTTTAATGCCCTGGTACTCATTGGGCTCCTGGAATGTGTGCTGGAGAATGTGAGCCAAAGACCCAACTCCGAAGTGGGCAAAACAGTAAACAAGGTTGTTACTCAGGTCCTGTTTACACTGAGTGAAGGCCTGTGTTAAGGTCAATAGGAGTGTTTTAAGAGCTCAGCTTTTATTAAAGGCTTTGGAGCTTATAAGTAAACAGAATTGTGTGGAATTTCTACGCATGCGCTTGAGGGTCATGTCATAATTACATAAATGTGGAAGGAGACAAAAGAGATGGATCATTTAGCCCAAGGACTGATTTACAAAGGAGGAAACTGGGGTCTCAAGAAGGTGAATGACAGGGGCAAAGCTGGGTCACCAACCCCCAGAGGGTAAGAGCTCAGTTTTCCCAAAGAACGCAGATCCTGCCTGTTCTATGAGTTTCTTTAGCTCCCCATAGAAGTATAAATAAATACAAGAGAGACTCAGGAATGTGCTAATTGTTCCTCGCTTGGGAGGTGGATCCTGAAATTGTACTAGAAAGTTCTGTTTGTGGGTAGCTAGGAGAAGTATGAGACCTAGCCAGCTTGCAGCTGCCTCACTCCTGCAGGGGTTGCTGGCTTCTTGGCCTGCCCGTGCCAAGCGGGGTGAAGCCAGTTTGGCTGCAGGGGGGCGAGCCCCTGCCCTTCCTCTAAGGTAGATGGTGCTGTCATCACCCAGCTCCAGTGATAGCCCATCTTGTTTCTCAAGAGCTGGAAATTTGAACTTTTTAATGTGAAATTTCCTGACTTTTCAAAGTTAGTAAATAACCTACATTTCCCCAAACACTGATACAGGCCAAAGAAAACACACGTGTGGCCTGAATGAGCCCAGCAAGCTGCTGACTACCAAGAGGACTGTAGCGTGCATGGGAAAGCTCTGCTGGCCGCAGCATTTCAGCCCAGACAACCTAAGCACCAGCCCATCTAGTCCCTTTAGAGTCCTTTGTCATACGCAGGTGACAAATAAGAAGGACAGAAATTTCTCTTGCCCAGGGTCATGCAGCTATTAAAGTGGAGTCAGGACTTGAGCTCCTGTCTGATTTAGGCATCTATGTTATTCTACTCCAACTGCTATAACAAATACCATGGACTGGGTAACATAAACATCACAGCTTTGTTTTTCAGTGTTCTAGAGGCTGGAAATTGTAAGATTAAGGTGCTATTCAGCTTGGTTCCTGGTAAGGGCTCACTTCTGGCCTTGTAGCGGCCACCTTCTCCCTGTGCACTTGCCTGACCTCCTCGCTGTGCACACCAGTAGAGAGAGTGAGCTCCCTGGTGTCTCTTTTCAGAAGGACACTAATCATTTGGAGGGCCCCAGCCTTGCGATGTACTTGGCTCTCAAAGTCTCAGAGGCCCCGCCTCCAAATACCATCACGTTGGGGGTCAGGGCTTCAATGCAGGAGTGGAGAGGGCACAGCCCAGTTCATGGCGGCATCCTTGCTCTTTGCCCCCCTACTGTAACGCTGGTGGGAGAAGTGTGACAGTGGGAGGATGGTTAAGCTGATAGCTCCTGACCTTTCTGCTGCTGTTCCTGTCCCGAGGCCTAGGTGAGCCCATCTCTCCTGGCATCCTCACTCTTCACGCCAAGGTCCAGCCCTCCTCTACCTCCCTGTCTAGTGTTGGGACGCCACTGTCTGTCCTCTCTGCTGTGAGTGGTGGGAACCTCTGATGGTCAGGGGTTGAAGCCCTCTGCTCAGATGCATCCTGAGACTTTTGGAACCAGAGCTCTTGCCACCACTATTTGCGTGGTTCTACCCTCGAGCCTTCTCCAGCAGAGTGGGTGGAGCGGAGGCAGGCTTTGACCTCAGGGCAGAGACCCAGAGCACAGCTGGAGACATGGAGCGTGTCCCTGGCACATAGGTGACCCGGATGTCTCTTGTTGCATAAGACAAGCTGGGCCACATGTGCTGCCGCCTCTGTAGGCGCCTCAGTGGACATAAACACAGCTGTCCTTCTGTCAGGATCTAACATGCTGAACTGGACACGCTGCTGTCCACCACGTCTAGCACACACTTGCTTTTCTTTTCCCTTAAGGAAGACTGGCTTGCAGAATAGATCCATATACCTGACAGGGCTGAGGCGCAAGGGTGGAGAGCACAGGTGGTAGGAATGTAAGGAAGAAGATACAGAAAAGGACATGTTGTCGAGGGCCTGCTTCTCAGTCACTTGTGTGAATCCTACTATTTATCAAAGATCTGTGTTAGATTCAGTAGATTTTTAAGAGAGCAGTTTTTGGATTCAGAGCCTGGGCATCAAGATTGGTTTAACCAGGTGACCTGGGACAAATAGCTTCAACTTCCTAAATCTGTTTTTTATCTTATAAAATGAGAATGATAGTAATGCTACCAACTTCACAGTGGTTGGGAAGACAGAGATAATGCTATTGTGTCTACAGCATAGGGTCTGGTGCAAAATGTTTAATAAATGTTGGCCATTATTATTCTTATTACTGGGAATATTCAGGAAAGCTAAAGCAGTTGATAATTCAGTATGGCGCAGAGCAATGTGATGATGATGTTCCCGGGAACAGTCCTGTGTAGAGTTCTCCAAGCTCACTCTGACTGGAGAGTCGGACGCACCCCTCAGAGTGCACACATGGCACCGAAGCTTGGGCAAGGCTGAGTTCTTACCAGGGCAGCCAGTTGTTTCTCTTTCTGTGGAGACAAGAACAAGAGGAAATGATTCTTTCAGTTCTCCATTTCACCCAACCCAACTGGTAATAAACTTTTTGATGGATTGCCTGAGTCCGGTGTGAAAGCCTGAATCATCTTCCTTGGGTCATCGCACCAGTCGAACCTGGCACTATTTCTGAGGGGAAATGGGTCTGTGTGTACACATGAACCACGCCAGGATGGTAGGTGATTTATGTCTACTGGCTCTAGTACAAACCTCTGTGAGAAGATTCTTAAAGCAGGCTTTCACTTTTTGATTGGATTTGTGCAGAGGGAGGACTCTTTCTTTCTCTCACTCATTTATAGAGTGTGTGTGCTGTGCTCGGCTATAAGAACATACATTCCTGGTCTGGCCTTTGGGACAGCCATTGAGGTAGGTAGTTCTCGCTTTGGGGAGTGACAGAGGGACCTGAGTAGGTGGTGTTAAGTGGAGTGCTGGCAGAATGAGGATGTGGATGGGGACGGCTCCTAATTAGATTTCGGGGAGTGTGACTCTGAAGATGGGAATCCAGTGGAAAAAGCAGATGAGCATAGAGCTGTCTGCTTTCATTCATCCTGTGCCCACAGCTCCCTGAGAGGACTTTTACTGTGCAGAAGTAAATGCTCAGAGATGAAGTTTCTGGGAGCCAGAGATGAGCTATCTGCAGCTGGCCTGAGGCAGGAAACACACATTTTCCTTCTTTCTTTAATAACCACGCTGCTTCAGTTCTTGGGGCGGGAGGAGGTGGCGTAAAGGAAACCCCCAAAATTTTTTCAAGGAAAGAGGTGGTTCCACGAATCATGGTTGGTCTCGAATAGCTCTGGGGTGGGGTGTGGGGAACATTTTCCTTTTGAGTCAGTTTGCTGCTAGTCTCAAGGGAAATCCGGAATGCTAAGCTACAAAAATAGATTTTTT